GTGTGTTAGTGTTTGTTCGGTGTATTGAAACTTTAGGTATGAAACAGACGCACCAAACGTACCGAAAAAAAAGTACACCAACAATTTGTGATATTACAGTACTCTTGTTGTTGGGTGTTGCCGGTTGAATGCTGTTCACGACAGCTATCCTATGCCTAAATATGGGCTTGTATATTCTGATTGTCTGATCGCTGACAGATACGGACGCAGCGAAGCTCTCTCCTGCGTCCGCATGCGCCGAGATCCCACTGCTGTCAACGGATGATACTGCAGCCCAGTCGCCAGCGACGGCGGCAGCTGCTGCTGCTGCTGCTTCGTCAGGAGATGGGAACAGCTCACAAGGCGGCAAGCCACCTCCATCACCGCCATCCTGCCTGCTCTCGGACATGGCCTGTCTCAGCTCGTATGAGATTGATGGCTTGCGATGGCTGCTGGCCGAGCTGAACGTTTCCACGACGATGGTGAGGGCGTGTCCCGAGGAGCTGGGGGATCCTGGGGAGCTCATGTCGACCGTGGAGGTAAGTTGTCGTGTGTGATGTGTGGGTAAAACCGAAGTTATCGAAAATAAATCTCCACCTAAATTTTCCGGTTTTACAGTAGCCTATCTTCAGGGACATACATATGGGACATACATAACTATTGGCGTAGATTTGCTTAATCGTTATGCCTTGTATTCTCTTGTGAAATGTACACCGTAGATTCTGTTGAACGAGTATGAAAGCCAGTATTCTCCTCTGCAATGTACAAGCATTTTCCTGTGCAATGTATGCTGTATATTCTGTTGAATGAGTATGAATTCTCCTGTGCAACGTGCCCTGTAGATTCTGTTGAACGAGTATGAAAGCCGGTTTCGCGAGGACAAGGCCACTGGACATTTTATGCTCATACCGGGAATACAATCTGAGGTATGGCGTGGTGAATTGCTGTGTGGTACTGCTGCTGCTGCTATTGCTGCTAATAGTGCAGCTATTGCTGCTGCTGCTTCTGCTGTTGCTGATGTTGCTCTCCTCTCCATCCCCACCATCTGCCTGTGGAATATTTGACAGTGGCAACATGTACATGTACATGTAGTAACAGGTATATGTTCATGGTGTTTCTTTCCTTCTGCGTGTGTAGAATCTGCGTGTGTCGCCCGCACCAATACCTGACAACATTGTGGAAATAGTTGCAGTTGAAACAGAGATTGTATGCAAGTCCTCAGCTGCTACTGCATCTCCAAGAAAGACAACAGGTAAGCTACAATGACAGGGGCGTCACAGGGCGGTTGGGAGTGGTACAACGGGGGTGTCCCCCGGGAGAAAAAAAATTGATTTTTCGGCCAACAGGGCACGTTTTAGCGATCTACAGCCACAAAGGAGGGTTCTCCTAGCACTTATCAGACAACCCCACTCGTACTCCAGCTCCAAAAATACTTCTCATAGATTTTTTGGTCGTACTTCGTCGGTAGCCAAAGCAAAAAGGAAGCCATTGCCCTCGAAAAAATCGCAAAATCCGAAGTACAAGCGTGCTGCTTGCTGCACGTTCTAGCGCCAGCCGCTTTGCAAAAACGTATGTTATTACCACAATGACGATGATATTGCTTTCACAACAATGACCACAACCTAACTGGGTTATCAGTAGGAGCAGTGACACAGCCTTACTGCTCCAAGTAGGATTTAGAAGAGAGTGAAGGGAGAGCAGACCGGGCCGGTCTAAGCAAGGAAGTAATCGGCATCAGAGGTGAGCACGCAGCATCGCAGATTGTCTCGAATTGCGCATCACACCAGCGGCAAAATTGCTCCTGTGCATGCAAGTGGATTTCCTTGCACTTCTCAGTTTGGGAAATGCTCGATTATGATAATTCTGCGTGCGAGTGCACTAGCCCTGAACATACATGTAGGTGACCCGTTTGTGGTGTCTCATAGCCTACCTCACGACCTTCTGCTTTCTTTCTGCATCACTTGTATCTTGCAGGTATATCATCTCGTGACGACCACATTGAAGTCTGAATTTGAAGTGCGAAGATGCTTCAGCAACCACATCGTACTTTTCCATTGCTTTTCATTGTGCTTCTACTGTGCATGTGTGTAACTTGTGGGGTATACATGTGATGACATTGTATGCTGGTGACACGGTCAGATTTTGTCCATGCGTGTAACGTACACCTGCATGTTATGCATCGAAAAGGATCTGCCACTTGCGATCCTGGGACAAGTATCAGGTCAGCTTTGTTTTGTGTGGGCTGTACCAGATTGCTGTTCACTTTTCTATCTGTTCGATATGTGACTTTCTGCAAGTCTCTGGTGTATGGTGGCCACTTCTTTGCTTGTCACTTTGTATGATATTACATTCTGTATTCGCTGCTTCCATGGCGTGGTCTGCAAACTGCAACCCTTGGGCAAATGTCATGTTTGCTATGTTGTGCTTTGGCCGTCAGCTTGTCTACACGTTGTAGTTGAATTATTTTGTTCCCCAACTGACTTCCTGAAGTACGGTGGCCACTGCTTTGCATGGCATTTTACATGAAGAATTTCCTGTTTGTGTCGTGTGCATGTGCGTATGTGTGCAGTGTGCATGCGCGTGTTTGTGTATCTGTGTGCGGGGTAAGCGAGGTGGAGAGGGCTGGTATGTATCAGTGTGTTATCGTACTCTCATGCCTACATACAGTACATCGCGCGCGTGTTCATCATGTTTACCTTCGGGGTTGGGGTGGGGAGGGAACGGAAAAAGAACTGAAATTATCCATATAAAAATCGCTCTGTGAGCGCTTCTGAAAAACCTTTACTGGCGCTGCCCCGTCTTAAAAGTAAGAAATTAAAACTGGCCCATTAGAGACGTTAAGATGCACGTTTTTTCCGACGTGACGCGCAATGTCACGTAAAATTTGGCGTAAAACTCCAAATTTCGACGTGGGCAGCAGGTCACTCGCAATGATTTTTCGACGTGCGAGCAAATAACGCGAGCTGAACTTTCGCATCACGTCCAAAATAACGTGCATCTTGAACTCTCTATTGCCCCCCCCCCCCCAAATCTGAACTGATCCACCTAAATCGCGAATGACGGGACCCGGACTCGCCAGTAGCACGGGGTCAGGAGGGCACAGGATCACAGCACATCATAGGGTAACACCATCACTAGTACATGGTATCAGTGGCAGTGTAACTTTGCTAGTACACATAGTTACTTCCATCGGATATCCAACATGGGAGTTCATCGACGACCATGGCCTGTGGACCAGCGTCCCCAGCTGCATCTACAGGTAGGAACCTGATTGATTGATTGATTATTATTTGGATACGCGAGACCAAACGAGCAGGAGTGCTCAATAACAGGGTGGCGAATGGTTGAGTTGTGCTATGTGACAATGTAGTGTGTGCGGAGCCCCAATACGATGTAAGGGGATGGGAGGAGAGAAGGCCAGCGGAGAGTCAAACTCAGAAGAGGGAGGAGAGAATAACTGAAGTACACATTTACTGTGCGAATTCAAATAAACCAGACAAACAGCAAAACGAGTACACAGCTCACGAGAATAAAGAGGACTGGAGCACAGAATTGAACTGCTGAAGTACACAGCTGACGAGAATAAAGACAGGAGCACAGAAATGAACGGGAGGCAGTCTAGGCAGAGCTGGTTGTGGGTCAAGTCGGAGCCATATGCTGACGATCCATATATCAAATCCGGCATGATAACAGATAGGAAGTACTTGCTTCGACTAGCTAGAGTGAGGCAGCGTCGCGCCCGCCACAGACTACCGATCTTCCTAGCAGTGCGTGAGATGCACCGGTCAACTTGCGGTTGCCAGGCCATTTGTTCATTGATTAAGACGCTGAGGTATTTCGCGCTGGTGGTGTGCGGAAGGACATCATTTCGACAGCGTACAACCACGTCCGGCTGCTGCCCACTGCTGCTGGTAAAAACCAATACATTGCTCTTCTTTGCATTTCATACAAGACCACGGAGCGTCCAGCCTACTTGAGAGGGAGGTAACCGCCAATTTACGTGGATCAGTTCACATTTGGGGGTACAATGAGCCACGGTTTTAATTTCTTACTTTTACGACGGGGCAGCGCCAGTAAAGGTTTTTCTGAACCGCTCACGTTCACAGAGCGGTTCAAGTAATATGGATAATGTAAATAATACTCAATATGCTACCTGTGGTGTGGTGCAAGCTCAGCACTGAGCTAAATCAAACAATGCTACATACAGCCTACACAGCCTCTGATGGCCCTCTATACAGTGCTGCGATGGCAGAACTTCTGAAGTTCACATCACCTTTCTTCCTCCAGCTATGCCCGTGACACCCTTTGTGAATCAAACACTAGTGGCAGGCCACGCGAAAATGAGAATGCGCGCAGCCAAGATTAGGCCATCATCTCCTTCATCCATTATCCCGGCGGTCACTCCGCCCGTTCAATATCCAACACCAGTCCCCAAGAAAGAATAAGGCACGAGATTTCAAGTTCAAGGGCAAAGCTAAAGGCTAAAGCCAATGAATGGCACTGATTTTTGGAATTGTCGAGTAGAACGAAAAATAATCGAAGGCGATCATGACGGTCAGATTCGACACACACGTGACACAGTTTGGGTCGCGCTCGCGCGTGTGTCGCGCTTCGCAATTGCTGCAGCTCGAGCGCGCCCATGATGAGTCTCGCGCTTGCGACAGGCTAGCCAAAAGTAACACGTTTAATAGTTGTCTTTTTTTACGAATTCTGTGACGTCATGTTTTGGAAGAATTATGTCCCAACAGTCATTGTATAGCCATAGGGCTTGAAAGTGATGACGTCAAAAATGGCCAGGGAGTAGTAAGTTGACATCAGATTTCTATTTTGGATCCACTAAGGTATTGCCTCAGTATGTGGGTGCATAGCAACCCACTCATGTCGTATGCAGGGGTGACTTTTACTTCGCCACCAGTTGTAACCCCGCCCCCAGTAGCCAAATCAGTCAGTTTCACTGTTTACATCACCTTGCTGTGAGTAAGACGGCTTGAAATGTGCTTGGATCCATACAAAAACTGGATCCAAGTGGATCCAATTTTTGAATTTTTGAAATTGTTGCTATGCTGTGACGTAGCACTTTCAAGCCCTATTATTATGAAAGGTCCCGGACACCTCAACACCACCAACATGCATCAGATACACGGCATGTAGTCAAATGAGCACGAAGGAGCGAACAAATCGAAAGAGCAGAGAAATCAGCAGTGAATGAAGTAGTGCCGTTGGGCGAGAGTAGTACTGATCAGCACTACTATACATGTTCACACTATTGACCTACTTTTCAGTATGGTGTGTGATGGCACTAATGGTTGAGATGTCCGTATTGACTACAGACTTTGTGTGTTGTACAGTGTAAACCTTGATCGATCTCCACCTGGAGTAGGTGCAGTGTGACTACGACCATGAGCAACGTGTGTGTAAACAAAACCAACCTGGACACCAGTATAGCAGCAGTCAACGGAGAACAGGGACTGACTAAGGGATTGCATAATCATTCACCATCCACATCACACCATCGCCTGCGGGGACCATGCTGAGAACGCATTGCACGGAGCTGTCCAAATGTGCCAGACTTTGACATACGCTTGTCATACATCCGTGCTATGTGTCCAAGCTAGCCTAATCCATTCTCCCTGATGATGCCTGCTACTTTGTAGCAATCTATGTGGTGTGTGTTGGCAGGTAGCAGGGTAGTGGAGATGACTTGATGGTGGCACTGCTGCTCTTGCCGTGACTAATGATCATACATGTACTGTAGATACTGGAAATGTAACAGAAGTCTTCCCAGTACTACTCTCCACTATATACACTGGAGAGTAGTGAACACTAAATGTGATGTACACTTGACATCCACAACAAACAGATCATGAGTACAAAGATAGAGGAAACGAACAACGTTGTTCTTTCTGAAACTGAGTGGGTTGGAAATCATCACATCCTGCGCTTCTGCTGCAAGATTTACAACTGTGTATAGAGTTTATGCTGCATGCTACAGACACACACACAAACAGACAGGTCATTGCATAGCTAGGGATAACGGATATAGCTGGTTGGTAATCGTATATCAGCTAGCACTATCAATCGCAGAGGTCACTGCATAGCTAGGGGAATAACTGATATAGCTGATTGGTACATGTATATCATCTAGCACTATGTGATGTAGCAATCAGCTATGTAGGAATGTCAGTCTCAACCAGGTGGCAGGATAAGTACTGGGTGAACAGTATCGTCTTCAACACGCAAATGACCCGTTACCAATGGTGGTCTCAGCTTTCACATACATACGCATACTTGTTACTGAGGCAGACAGGTGTTGAAAATGTATTCGTAAATCCTACTAGATTTGTACTGCTGGGGACAACTACCAAACAAACATAACCTAAAAAAAAGATAACACTCTTGTAGCGACACAATCAGCATACGTTATTGTTACAGTACTTCTGTGATATTTCCACTATTGTCACATTGTCTTGAGTAGCAGGCAATTCTCGCACATCTTACCAATGTTCTGTGGTGACGTGTGAATTTTGTAGCTGTAGGTTATTTCTGTTCCTGTAAATCACACCAGTAGAGAACGTCCCCTATAGTCATGTAGTCTTTCGGTCTCTAATTTCACATGTCATTTTCATTCTGGTCCTGATGACCTAAACGTTTGATAATTCACTTTAAAACGTATCGCTGTGGCATGATTCGCCACCGTTGAGTGTCAGACAGAGTTTGCAAAGGCGCCCCATTGGGTGCAGTAAAACTTGCCGCTGGGGTAATTTATAGCTTATGCATAGCTTCGTACCAGATCACCATCTCACCACTTGATCGTTACGTAAATATCTGCTAACTCGACCGACCGGAGTGCCTTGTGCCAGCCATATACTAGTGAGTAGAGGCCCTGTATAAGTAGAGGTGACTGGATCGTTGTGTGGAACAGTGCTCTCTCTCTCTCTCTCTCTCTCTCTCTCTCTCTCTCTCTCTCTATCTCTCTCTCTCTCTCTCTATCTCTCTCTCTCTTTCTTTCTCTCTCTCTCTCTCTCTCTCTCTCTCTCTCTCTCTCTCTCTCTCTCTCTCTCTCTCTCTCTCTCTCTCTCTCTCTCTCTCTCTCTCTCTCTCTCTCTCTCTCTCTCTCTCTCTCTCTCTCTCTCTCTCTCTCTCTCTCTCTCTCTCTCTCTCTCTTTCTCTCCCTATGACCCCATGGGATCACGTGACGGTAAAATTAATTATTGCTACATGTACGGGCCCATTGCCATGGAAACAGTTGCCAATGTGAGGAGAGTGCGTGACTAGGTAACCATGGTGATATAGATACATATACGTACTGATCCAGATTTTACTCATTGCTCTTTTCTGATGATCGCTTAGTGCGTGAAAATCAGAGTTAAAACACTTTCTCTGTCCTCCTATTGTTTGGTAGATACTTATACAATCATGTAAGTTTTGTAAACGGAAGAGAAGCAACAGCAAAAGTATCATCAGCTTTAAATATGTTACTGTCATTGTGTACTGTGCTGATAAAGACTTTTCTGAACAGCA